TCATTCAGATAACGTGCACAATTATTGCGTGTCGACATACGGTATTGGTGAGGATAGCGATATATTTTACAGAAGGGTGTGCGCGTATGATGCACGCGCCATTTGGCGAAGACTGCGGGTCCGTAGGCCGATAGCAAACCACGACAAGTGGTGTTTCTGTGAGTCGACGCGCTCCTGGACGTGGCGCGTTCGCATGGTAGTACTCGCACAGATTGGGCGTCCTACTTTTTTGAACGGGCCTTTCTCATACAGTGTTCTTCATCATATTTCATCGAAATCAGCAGTAACGTCGCCAAAAATAATTCAAAAACGATGTCCATGGTCTTGAAGAAATCTGGTCTTCGATCTCCCCAAAGAACTTTGCGAAACTTGCCCGACACTCCTCTCGCGACTCCCAACGTAATGCGAGGCGGCAAAACTTCAGCCCGCTTGGCCGAGTCGCCGCTCATCATAAAACGGTGGCGCCCGCATCATCACGCGGCCGCCACCACCACTGACAGCAGACCGTGACTGATGAGCGCCGCCTGTCGCTTCTGGAACGGAACTCTCGGCCCCACGCAATCGTCGCACGCGCGCATCCTTGAGCGAGGTCGGCGGGTTGCGTCATCCCGAACGGCCGCCGCGCGGCTCAGCGGCGATCGATGCGGTGTAAATGACGTCATATTCGTCAGCTGATTGAAACTGCGGTGTTTGCGGTGTGTGCACTGCGTGGTTTGATTGCCACTGTTTAGGTAAATGTTGTAAACAACAGCTCCTCTCGCACGTGTACAAGATCTGGTCAAGCTACTTGCAATGAGCTCTGGGGTGCAGTAACTAGTTCTAAAATATTCTCGCGAGAATACAATGACGCCAGCTGCCGGCACGCTACAACACTCCAGCGGTCATCACCAAAATTATTTGCAGCTTCCCAAATATGAAAACAAACGAATAATTCTGGGACGAAGCGAAATGCTGCATTTCTTGGTGCCATTTCTCATACCCGTAAAATGTAAATCAACAGAAATGTCGTCACTACTTCAAGGAATGCTTAGACGTGCAGAACCGTGGCATCGTGGCATGGGTAATGCAACCCACTGTTGGTGTTCAAGGAGGGGGGGGGGGGCGATTTCTAAGGCTTATAGGTAAGGTTAGAGCCAAAATTTTGCGGCAATATTGCAGATCAAAGAGCAAACAACTGGTCAAAATACACGATATAAGTTGTGAGGCAACAGTCCAACTTCGTACGATACAACTAGACAAGCAATGTTTGGTCGACTCAACCCTTCGAGCATCTTGTTTACGGTTATTTGTTTCCAACTTATGACTCAATTAAAATAGACATCATTCCCTGTTCACAACACACAATCAAGCCTGCGTTTCAATGCAGCTGCAATGCTTCAACGGACCTGATTTCAACAGGACAAGTTCAATGCGTTCCCGGGTTCCCCCATTTCAGCAGAATGGTACGCAATCATTTCCTTACCGCTCCAAAAACGGGCGGCAACGCGATTATCAGTTTTACTCAATGAATAACTGCCAAGCTTTGACAATGTGAAGCATGCGGAGAGTGACTTGCTTTCGAGCTTCGCCGGTCATCGCGCATTGATCATATTTTCCGGTCTGTCCCCTTCACCGGCGTCCTCCATTCACTGTCGTCCGGGGCATCACCTGTGCTGGCCAGGCGTCGTGCTTATCCGCGGCGTGACGATAAGACCGGGTCTACCGGGTACGGTGGGCCTCGAATCAGCTCTACCGATCTCCACCGCTCGACCGGCCTGGCCATGCGCAGCATATGGTTCGTTAAAAAAGGAAAGTGGGTTTACATGGGATGACCGACCGTGGTCTACTCAAGGTCTACAATAATACGGTCTACTGTCCTCTTACAGATGCTAGGTCTTCCTGAGAAAGAAATCCGGCGTTCGTAGTTAAACGGACAAAATTTGGCCTGACACCCAAAGTGCAATCCGTTCCAACGGATGTGTGTTCTTGCGTGGCTTCCTTCCGCAAAAGACGTGCAATGTGGTGCCAGTGGTCCTGCGATCCCAAGGCACATATGCGACCTGACGCTTCGTCCCTAGCAGCTACCCAGAGGTCATGGTTGCACTTGACCTTGGGACCCATCAGTGACCCCGGAGCTGAAGGTAGCCCTTTTCATCTTACCTTAAGAACCCAGCAGTGACCCCGAGGTCTCATTCCCTGTTAGCCCGCCCCAGCGTCCCCGATCTGGGTCGTGACCTGCCGCTGACCTCCAGCGGTGACGGAGGCAGCCGCGGCGGCGGTGGAGGAGGTGGCACCCGCTCCGACCGAGGTCGAGCCGGCGGTGGAGCTGGTGGAGGATCCGGCGCCAGCGCCAGAGGAGCCTGCCTACGCGGCCGCCCCGGCCGCGGAGCAGCCGGTGAGGGGAACTCTCCAACCAAGCAGTGCAGCGTGGATTGCATGGATAGAGCTGAAAAAACACCCGCGTCTGCCGAATTAATGGCTAGATTGAGCGCTGTAGCATATGATTGCAGTTTATGAGGTTATAAGTGTCACAGTGTTTTACGCCGTGTGTCATGTGGGAGGACTTGTGGTGCCCGGTTCCCATAGAGGGGACTATAAATTCAGTGCATGCAAGACCCCAGTGTTCATCCTATGTGCGCATACCGATGTATAGCAGCTCCATCATCCGTCATCAGCAGCCAAGCTACGGCCACCAGTCCGCCTATGGTCACCAGCAGCCCGCCTACGGCCACCAGCAGCCGGCCTATGGTCACCAGCAGCCTGCCTATGGTCACCAGCAGCCCGCCTATGGTCACCAGCAGCCCGCCTACGGCCACCAGCCCGCCTACGGCCACCAGCAGCCGGCCTACGGCCACCAGCAGCCAGCCTATGGTCACTCGGTAAGGTCCCTGCCGAGTGTGTCCCCATCAGGCCTTGAGTCGGGACAGTGCTGGTTTGTATGAGAACCTTGTCTTGCGCACATGAGAACACTGGCTGGTAAGTACACTGCATGGTAGCTGACGCGCTCAAGCACTCCGTCCAGAAATTGTTTCGGTCCCGGGTGCAAGGTTAGCTCTGTTGACTTCGATCATTCACCAACTAAACGTAAACAGATGGTAGCCGTCGCCCACCACTCACGTGTCTGTTCGACCCCGGCGCACCAGGCTCACGAGCCGGCCGACCCGGCCTGCTCCAAGAACACGACCAAGGATTGGTGTCTGGAGGACTCGGAGTACCCGGCCTACCACATCGCCCAGGCCATCGGCTACCACCACTACACCTTCCTCAACCTGTACCAGGACGTGGTGGCCAACACCAGCAACTCGGTCGACAGGTGGGTCGACGTGCTGGCGATGAGAGCGCGCGCCGCGGCGCGTCAAACCGTCAGCGACAACAACATCACATGCATAAAACACGCAACGCGACGCGGTGGCGCTGCTTGAACCGTTGCCCTGGCGTCTGGCGATGATAAACACAGATTACGTGAGCTGTTATCAGATGTGGGACCGCATCTGGTGTCAACGCAATACTGCGCGCAACCTCCAAGGGAGATTATCTGATGAGGCTTATCCTACCTCGAAGCAATGAGATTGGTGTGACGAATCTGCTAAAGTGGACGCCTTTTGTCGTGGTGAAGGAGAACAGTTATTCCGACACGCTCAGTTATCCTGACAGTTCTCTGGAATTGATGAAGAGCTGAAGACACGAGTGCTCAGTCGCTGCAAATTGTTAAGGTGACGATTATATATATATATATATATATATATATATATATATATATATATACATATTACAAGGTGACGATTAGTAACTGCTCTTTACTGGTTTTCGACACCTCTCAGTGATGGTATGGATGGTCCCAACAAGTCATGATGCCAATTAAAACCTGACTGACCGTCGAAAATGGCTTCAGATACTTTACCTAAGTGTATGCATAACCAAGCACCTCCAAATTACTAGCACACGCCCCCATATCAAGCCCTCTCCCCGTCCCTTCCCCGCCTAGAGGTGTACACACCTTCCGCGCCTCCTGTGTGGTGAGTCAGTTTGGTCGCTGGTTCCTTGCACCCCAGACTGGAAGAGACGCGAACCGTGGGCCGCGCGCCTGCTGCTGCGGAAGAGCCTTCGCTCCGGGAGACAGGCAACCTGATCTGAGACCTTGTGATCCAGCCTGTTCCAAGGCCTTGTGATGCAGGCTGATCCGAGACCTTGTGATCCAAACTGATACAAGACCTTAAGGTTCAACCTCATCCGAGATCTTGTGATCCAGCCTGATCCAAAATATTGTGATCCAGCCTGATCCAAAACGTTGTGATCCAGCCTGATCTGAGACCTTATGATCCAAACTGATCTCTTGTCCGCCAGGCTGGAGGCTCTGGAGGAAGAGACCTACCTGTGCGGATCTGAGACCGCCTACGTCCAGCCGCTGAGGGCCAAGAACACCGACGGAAAGTGGAGGGTCATCGTCAACAACGTGCAGGTGCGGAACACATACGCAGCCGTTTTGGGATACCCGACCTTGTGACTGGTGTCACGTGTGACTTAGTTGCGTTGCTTAGCGACGACTGCGGTTCTGCAAGTCAAAGATGATGGTGCTGTAAAAGATGCGATGCTTTCGGACCGGGCAATTTCATATCACCACGACATGTGCAGCTGGTGAAGCTGAAACACCGCCGGCGGCCGTCGGCCGCGAACCCGCCATCTCGAGGTTAGGGACTACGCCCGCCTTCGTTTGCCCTTTCTCACCCTAGCCAGCGCCGTTCTAGGTGCACTATGACACGTACACCCAGACGGCCCGCGTGGAGGAGTGCCTGTCCGCCGGCGAGCCCTGCCCCCTGGTGCCTCACTGCTACGAGTCCAGCTGCCTGCAGAAGTCCGTCTACCACAGGTCAGGTCACTTCGTTGATAAAGTCAGGTCATGTGAGGACACAGGCCTGCCACCACACTGGTCGCTGACCCAGGTCACGTGATATGTCACGTCACGTGGGGTGTCTCGGTGGGCTTGAGTGCCAAAGTGGAAAGGTCAGTTCAAAACGGACGCCAGGTCAGGCTAGGCCACGTGAAACTGTTCTGATACCTGTCTTGCTGTCGCCAGATTCCTGGTATACGACGCTTACGACTACTACCTGCCATTCGCCATCGAGACTTTCAAGCTGCCCTCCGCCTGCGCCTGCTCGCTGGGAGCTTACGAAATCACCCACTAGATGTCTCTGCCAGGCACCTCGGCATCGCTCTTCGGCACGGACGCATGTCGTGAGAGATTTGCTCGTCTGAAAAAGCGGATATGCTAAGAAATCGCTGGTATAACGTGAGTTACCGCACTTTTGTGCAACCGTTTTGTCAGTGTTAAGTTATTTGTCTTGTATTTAAATCGATTCAGAGGGCAGCAAGAGGCTGTCCAATGCGTAAGTGGATAAATTTTGATGTGCCTTGTAAGGTGACTCGCTTTAGAGCTGGTCACGCTCCAAAGAGTACTTGCTTTAGAGTTGGTCATGCTCCAAAAGTACCTGTGTTGTGCTCTACATGGCCTACCAAACTCCAACGAGGTATTGTGTACCGGGGCAAGCATGTTCGGACACATTCGCGCACGTTGGCGAGACGTTGCCTCCGCAGCGGCGTTGGTTACCGGGATGATGTGATGTTTTGAGCCGTGTCAGTGAAGTGGGACGTGGAAGAATGCTGTGATCCCACGCAAATGACCACCTCGTGTGCTTTGTTCACATTCGCCGATGCTTCGTGGCTTTCATGAGTCGCGAAGGAATGTGTTGGACCAATGACCTGGCATGACTTCATATGAGGTCAAAAGGTGCGGCGGCAGTCTCTGGGGGGAGATGACGTCATATGGCGTCCTTGCATCGCCACCATCGGCAGAGGTCCATCGGTCTGGCGCGTGGGTATGGAGCGTATTCTGATGACGTCACTGGGACGCATTTGCATTGTCGGCGTCGCGGCAAAGGCTTCGCGGTTCTGCTACAATTGATAGAGTATCTCGTGCTTTTCGACACATGCCTCCGAAGTGTATTAAATTTCGTGGGGACTTCGGGAACTTTGGGCAACGATTCAACCGCTGCCAATTACTGAATCTAAGGTGTATTAGTGCTTTATGTTGTCAATGGTGGTGTAATGCATTTTTAATTGCCGGTCGTTTTTCGAAGCTTTTTTGGCAGTGATGCTCTCAGCAGTGTTTCGATGTTTATGACCTGTCCGTGTGTGTTCTTGTGAGTGTGATGGGATTTTGAGAATACAGGTTCAAGAGTTTGACTTTGTGTGCTGGTAGGCAGGTGCCTTTTCAAGCTCAAGGGTTGATCAAAAACTTCGTCTCTAAACTTGAGAGCATTTATAATATTTCAAATGAGCAAAGTCGAGCTTTCACAAAAACGCTTCGTGTGACTGCGCGGGAAAATCGAGCTTTTGTGAGCTTTTTGCACGTTACAGCCAATGAGTTTGTAGAAAGGCATCTGCAGGCTTTCTTTTTGCCAACTATTTTTCATCAAGGTTGTCACCAAATCAGATAAAAAACAATTTTTCACCAACTATTTCTGCAGCCTTTGATCTAAAACAGTAATCGCCCAAAGATGAACATGGATACACACATAACACATTAAATGGAAAGGGTGGTATCTTTTTTGACATCCCCTTAAATGGTTCCGAGCAATGTTGTGGGAGAGTTTGGGCTTCATCTGAAATCTTATGGTCATTTTGTCGTAAAATAACCAGTTGCGTTCTTTAGCCATCTTCAGGGAATTCACCGACTCGGGTTTACTCAAACTTGCAGGCTGCAAGATAGAAGTGCACCACCATGTGTAGCAGAAAATTTAATGACAGCATTTAAGCCTCCATCATCCTTCACATTTGGGTCGAATTATTTCGTACGCTGGTGTCTTATCATACTGTAGTGCTGGTAAAGAATAAGCTCACATCAACAGGGCTTACGTTACACGACATACACCCATTGAACAGGTTTTTACGCGCCCTTGAGGCGAGCGGCTGCAAACTGATTTTTAATATGCATGTGGCGGTCCCACTTATATTGCATGCATTTTCTGCACTACAGTTGCAACAAACGTATCGTCACCCTTCTTTTACAACTCCGTAGCTCGATATATTTGTGCAGCCGGATGCTTACTACCCTATACAACTGTATGTTTGTCGCATATAACAGTGCGCCTGTCAACACCAGAGCATACCCTCTCCTCGTAATAAAAAATATTGTTTGCTTTCACCGCCAGATCGGAACGAAATCGTAACAGCTGAGTGAACAAACGATGTAATAAACTTTACACACCCAGGGACATATGACAAGCAAAGGTCTGAGAAGTTTCACTGAACACCTCCGGAGTGCGGGGTCGGGGATGACCTGCGTCTATCATGGCTAATCCCACCACCCCTCCCCAACCAAAAATACATGCTGCCGCACGTGACCGCCTTAATAAACCGACTTCAGTGCAGTTACAAGACAGTAGTAATAGTTTTATTCCACGGAGAAAAAAACAGTAGAATGGGGATGCAGTTTACAGCGGACACAGGTACAGTTACATTTTTTAGTACACCGTTATTTTGAGATAAAAATCTAACTTATTTCACTTCAATAGTATTCAAACATAAGCACCCTGAGCCTCGTGCCAGACAATATTTGAAACGGTGAATCAAGCGGATAACGCTCACAAACAGCACAAAGCATACACGCGGTCATACGTGGCAACATAAGCCGAGTGATCAGTCAGCTGATCGGTACCTTGCTGTCCTTGTATTGCGTGGTTTCCGACATCGGTCTTGAAATGAGCGCGATCCATCGCACGGAAGTTGTCAACAGATCATTGGATGTAGTCGCGATTGAGTACTGAAACCTCCAACTTCCAAACTCAAAGCGTGTCGCCGAAGTCGTCGCGGGCCGATCGCAGTGTCTGGTGACAGTGATCATTTTGAATCATGCCTTTGATTCAAATGATCACAGTCGCGATTGTGAATGCCATGCCTGTTGACAAGGTCACGAGCGAATGACTCGGGCTCGGATGTGATCAAATCTGTTTTCCTCGAAAGTAACATGAGGCCATTTTACAAGTACCCGTTCTTTGCTGAAAGCCACTTAAGCTCTCGAAGGTCATCGCTGATATGGTCACATTTCCTCCGCCCAAGATAACTGTTGCTGCGAAGTTTAAAAGCTTCTGCAGTCAGGCTAGCGAGTACTGCTGCTCGCTCTGCACACGGTGATGCAGTATCGAATCAGCGTTATCACGAGTCCCGCTACTGATATGACCAGAGCAAACTGTGGTAGGTTATGCCTGCTATGACTGGGGCCGCAGAGCATTCCTGTATCTTCCCGCGCAACATCGCCAGCCTTTCAAAAACTTTGATAGTCCTGCGGGCAGGGTGCGACTGAGCGCATTCTATTGGAGTGTGGGAGTACTGCCAGCTGGTGCCGTGACATCGGGGCGGACCTAAGACACTGGTCAGGCTTGTTTTGCCCCCCCCCCCCCCTCCCCCCGCTCCCCAGTCAGCGCATTACCGAATGCCAACGGTCGGCATGAGCTTGTGCTTACCAAAGTATGGCAACCTTTGATGTGTGCATATATATATATATATATATATATATATATATATATATATATATATATATATATATATATATATGTATATATATGCACGATATCCATTGTGATCTTTTGACATGCGGCGTTTCCTTACGATCTTTAACACTCTAAGGGGTTACAATCCATACACCAATATATGTATGTATGTATATATATATATATATATATATATATATATATTTATTTATTTATTTATTTATATATATATATATATATATATATATATATGTATATATATATATATATATTTATTTATTTATATATATATATACACATACATACATGCATATATATATATATATATACATACATATATATATATATATATATATATATATATATATATATATATATATATATATATATATATAGTGGTATATGAATTGTGCGACCTTTTACGTTTGACAGCACTACCGGACCGCTACCAAACAGCACCGTAACATGTCCATCGGCCGAAGGCAGTCATTTTGTTGGTATGCCCCCCAAGCAACACATTACGTAATGAGATCGGGCAGCCAGAGCTCGCGGCTAAACTACATCTGGCGCCATATGTATTTAACCTCGTAATTTTTATATCCTGAGTACACTTGCTAGTATGACGCATAATATTCATTGCGGTCTTTTGACGTGCGATCGTTTCCTTACGATCTTTAACACTGTAAGTGGTTACAAACCCAACATTAGCATCGTACTCTCTTCACCATAAGTAGGTATGCAGGGCACCCACTATGCACCCACTAACGCGTCCAGAAACCACACCCCGGACATGATACAACTGTCATCGGAGACACTGGAGTCTCGGGGTCGACGACGGGCAGGGCCGACTCACTGTTTTCATTCACTCGCTCGCGCAGCGGCGCTTTACACCACGGAACTTCCATGGACACAGGGTAATGAATATTATACTGCTTCTTGAGGCTTGACCGCAGGTATATAGGACTAGGATAGGGCCTCTCTGGCGTAACCTCTCTTCATGAGGAGAGGTTATCCACAATGCTATACAGCCTACATGAGGGGAGGGGGACGTGGGCAGGGTCGTCCACAGTGCTATACAGCCTACATGAGGGGAGGGGGCATGGGCAGGGTCGTCCACAGTGCTATACAGCCTGCATGAGGGGAGGGGGACGTGGGCAGGGTCGTCCACAGTGCTATACAGCCCGCATGAGGGGAGGGGGACGTAGGCAGGGTCGTCCACAGTGCTCTACAGCCTACATGAGGGGAGGGGGACGTGGGCAGGGTCGTCCACAGTGCTATACAGCCTACATGAGGGGAGGGGGACGTGGGCAGGGTCGTCCACGGTGCTATACAGCCTGCATGAGGGGAGGGGGACGTGGCAGGGTCGTCCACAGTGTTATACAGCCTACATGAGGGGAGGGGGACGTAGGCAGGGTCGTCCACAGTGCTATACAGCCTGCATGAGGGGAGGGGGACGTGGGCAGGGTCGTCCACAGTGTTATACAGCCTACATGAGGGGAGGGGACGTGGGCAGGGTCGTCCACAGTGCTATACAGCCTGCATGAGGGGAGGGGGACGTGGGCAGGGTCGTCCACAGTGTTATACAGCCTACATGAGGGGAGGGGACGTGGGCAGGGTCGTCCACAGTGCTATACAGCCTACATGAGGGGAGGGGGGACGTGGGCAGGGTCGTCCACGGTGCTATACAGCCTGCATGAGGGGAGGGGGACGTGGGCAGGGTCGTCCACAGTGTTATACAGCCTACATGAGGGGAGGGGGACGTAGGCAGGGTCGTCCACAGTGCTATACAGCCTGCATGAGGGGAGGGGGACGTGGGCAGGGTCGTCCACAGTGTTATACAGCCTACATGAGGGGAGGGGGCATGGGCAGGGTCGTCCACAGTGCTATACAGCCTGCATGAGGGGAGGGGGACGTGGGCAGGGTCGTCCACAGTGTTATACAGCCTACATGAGGGGAGGGGACGTGGGCAGGGTCGTCCACAGTGCTATACAGCCTACATGAGGGGAGGGGGACATGGGCAGGGTCGTCCACAGTGTTATACAGCCTACATGAGGGGAGGGGACGTGGGCAGGGTCGTCCACAGTGCTATACAGCCTACATGAGGGGAGGGGGACGTGGGCAGGGTCGTCCACAGTGTTATACAGCCTACATGAGGGGAGGGGGGACGTGGGCAGGGTCGTCCACGGTGTTATACAGCCTACATGAGGGGAGGGGGACGTGGGCAGGGTCGTCCACAGTGCTATACAGCCTGCATGAGGGGAGGGGGACGTGGGCAGGGTCGTCCACAGTGTTATACAGCCTACATGAGGGGAGGGGGACATGGGCAGGGTCGTCCACAGTGTTATACAGCCTACATGAGGGGAGGGGACGTGGGCAGGGTCGTCCACAGTGTTATACAGCCTACATGAGGGCAGGGGGACGTGGGCAGGGTCGTCCACAGTGCTATACAGCCTGCATGAGGGGAGGGGGACGTGGGCAGGGTCGTCCACAGTGCTATACAGCCTGCATGAGGGGAGGGGGACGCGGGCAGGGTCGTCTACAGTGCTATACAGCCTGCATGAGGGGAGGGGGACGTGGGCAGGGTCGTCCACAGTGCTATAAAGCCTGCATGAGGGGAGGGGGACGTGGGCAGGGTTTGTCCACAGTGCTATACAGCCTGCATGAGGGGAGGGGGGGACGTGGGCAGGGTCGTCCACAGTGCTATACAGCCTACATGAGGGGAGGGGGCATGGGCAGGGTCGTCCACAGTGTTATACAGCCTACATGAGGGGAGGGGGCATGGGCAGGGTCGTCCACAGTGCTATACAGCCTACATGAGGGGAGGGGGACATGGGCAGGGTCGTCCACAGTGCTATACAGCCTACATGAGGGGAGGGGGCATGGGCGGGGTCGTCCACAGTGTTATACAGCCTACATGAGGGCAGGGGGACATGGGCAGGGTCGTCCACAGTGCTATACAGCCTACATGAGGGGAGGGGGACGTGGGCAGGGTCGTCCACAGTGCTATACAGCCTACATGAGGGGAGGGGGACATGGGCAGAGTCGTCCACAGTGCTATACAGCTTACATGAGGGGAGGGGGACGTGGGCAGGGTCGTCCACAGTGCTATACAGCCTGCATGAGGGGAGGGGGACGTGGGCAGGGTCGTCACTTAATATACTTTCATGGCGCTGATCCCGCCTCCCTTAATGTTGACTGGATCCTCCCCCTCCCACCTCGATGTCCTCCGAGCCGCCTCAATGAATGCCGGCAAAAACTAATACTGGGCCAGCGAAATGCTAGAAAACTCTGTTCGGTTGCCCGGTTGATTGCCCAAGGTGACGCGCCGCTGAAGGTTACCTTGAGCTTTTAAAGGTTCGCCCACAAATGCACCAGACCGCTAGCGACGTAGCACTTTGAGGTGGTGCTGATAAGATACTTACTATCGTCCCCAAAGAGGCGTCTTCGGGAGAGTCATGGTCTGACGAATGTGAGATCACAGATGACTACCAGTGTTTTTCATCTCATTTTGCACTTGAACGGTCATTTGAATACCACTGTAGTCTTGTTGATACAAGACATATGCTTGTCTCCCTGAAGAAGAATGGGGGCTAATTTTACCTGGGCCACATGTCGTTAACGAAGTTGCACACAAACAGTCTGTTTGTTTCACTTCTGTATGATTTCTTTGCGAACGGAATACATTGTTAAACCAGGAATTAGCGACACGATCAGAAGACCTCACTCGGCACTCCATGCATCCGCTCTCACGAAAAATAAGGTGTACTTCAGCACGTCTACGTCCGCACGACTGGGGACCGGAACACACACACGCCGCTCTCCTCATTTGTTGTGTCAGAAGTGCTTTCTTGGTATCCGTGGGTTGTGCGGGAAAATAATGCGGTATGTTTGGGGCGACAATAAGGTTTGTTAAATTGGTGATAGCTTTAAGTTTTTGTTAAGTTTTGATAAAATACGGCGATAAGTTGTCACTTTTTGATTGGGCATATTTCTGGAATGTGTGCCCACGCCAAGCAGTGCTTGTTGGACGAGTGTTGATGAGATAATACAATTCAGGGTACCCGCTGTGCCCGCCCTTCCTGCCAGGGTGAGAGGCAGGCGACGCCCTGCAGCCTAAGCAGCTGAGTGCGTCGTAGAGCCCCAACGGCACACAATTCAGGGTCGACGTCAGAACTTGGCGGCAAAAACCGTAATTGTCCTCGGTCGCAATTGTCGACACAGTCCATCCTGCCATCTGACATCGCCTGAGCGTGAGCGCGGCCGCAGCCACCGGCTGCAGGCTATTCCAGTCGGGGACGAATAGCGAACGCCTATAATAGCGACTAATAGCGATATATATATATATATATATATATATATATATATATATATATATATATATATATATACACATACATACATCGAACGCCTATAGCGACTCGAACCCACTCCGCTACAGAGTTGCGGAACGGAACGCGAGTGCTTTAACCACCTGAGCTATGGGAACGGGCTTAAGTGTACTGGGGGGGGGGGGGGGGGAGGGGGCTGGATGATGTAAAGAACAGGTTGGCGGTGCATCTTCCACCTGGTTGTACCACGGAAATGGTGTCGAAGAATAAATCGACACATTTTGTGCGGCAAGTTCAAAAGAAAAGGGAATATTGGCGTCGTGTTCATTGACGTTTATGAAGAAATCTGACAATGAGCACAGCTTCAAAACATCCAGTTTCATCGATATAACCAACATTTTTCGGACATGCGTTTATTCACAACCCCCTGTTGTACTGAATGTCGATTATTTTCAACATGGAAACTCCCAATTTATTATCCGGAGGCACCAAGATTCGAAGCCTTCCTTTCTTATACCAACTTTCGGTACGCGTTAAAGCGTTGATCACGCTGTTTTGAGGGCGGACACTATGGAGACTCATTGGGTCCCCAGTATTTACCTACTCTGTCCTGCCAGCTATCGGCATGTCTGTTGGGGAAGTTGTGCAACTTCGGTTTTACTTTCGCATATTGGTACAGCGTGCCACTACGTTTGCAAATTCCCCACAGGCTCTCGCCCGTAGGTACATGTCATGCCACGCCATTTATAAAAGCCATCTCTTCGCGCCTCTGACCACCTGTGATAAAAGATGAACGACACCTATTTCTGTTTACGGATATGTTTATTTCTTTGAATTAGATACATCACATTTTAAGCATGTTCTGCAAAGGTGCAGCATCAATCACCTTTAACTGGTAACCTATTCCTCCGCAGAAAATGTTTTCGGAGTCGGCAGCATATTTTTTCAATCTAATAGCGAGGACGCAAATTAAAATGGCTGAAAGCTGGAGAGAAATCGCCGTTTATGGGCTCATGATAGGCCAACCTCATCGGCTTTACCTCCAACCGATTTCATGAAGTGATATCTATGGACATAGATAACTCTGACGAGGGAGGGGGCTGTGCGATCTTCATTATGGCCCTCTCATAGTGAGCAGCAGTTACAAATCCTTATATTTTCTTTCCTTCCTCCCCTCTTGGGGTTTTCAGGTGTTCCTTGCGGTGTGTGGTAGTGACTCATGTTTAACTACCCGCCCTCTGAGTGCTCTTATTTCGCGTTTTTTTACGATGCCGATGTCCCACATTAACTTAGAGATAGTCACGAATACCTTGCATGCACCGGGTGTTTTGCCTCATATTTTCAAAAAGAAGATGTTCCGACGGCCGCGGATATTCTTCCATGCCTTCTCGAACCTGCTTGATCCGATAGGGCCGTTCCGGCGTGACGCAGTTAGATTGGACGATACAAGTGTAAGCAAAGATCGGCAAATATATTCCTTTGCCCATGGGTGTAACCACGTCCCCATGACTGGGAGACAAATCGGGATTAGGGGATTTAGGCGGAATTTTGAGGGGATAACGTAACTTGAACAGAACAATTTGAACGGAAAATCATGAAAACAAAATTATACAGGTAAATTGGAGGGCAATTTTGTGAGCATGGGATGGAGATCGTATCCTAACCCCCCTCCCAGCGGATACACTCATGCCCTGCCTAAAAGATCAGAGTAAAGGCGTCTGTCAAAGCCGCTACAGAGAACACCAGTAGACCTGCGATGGTCAGAGATATTCGAGAATGGCATGCGTGGTGCCAGGGCGTCTGCAGATCCTCAAATGATCGCTGACGCCGAGAGAGCGCGGACTCTTTGGAATGGCTCATAACCAAAGATGATCAGATGGTGGATAGCCAATGCCAGAAGGTTTGAGCGCGCCCCATCTTCCTCTTTATTTGTACGCACGCACCCAGCCCTGCACTCCTGCACGACCCGTCACAGGAGTGTCCTTTTCCGCGGCTGCACGCCGCATGAACAGCCTCGAGTTGCCCCTGCTCCCGTCCGGTCCCGCTCGAGCGGTCGCATGCCCTCCCATACGGCACGTCAGGGATCCCTGTTAGGTGGTCCTCGGGACCTACGTTTGATGTAAGGTATTTGCAGTATTATTTTACTATATACTATTCTCACTATTATTTACAGTATTATTTTACTATATGCCTCGCATATACTATTTCCGCAATTACCCGGCAGCTTTGGTAGATTGGTTACTTGGCTGATAAGACTAGTGTGCTTTCGGCCAGTAACTGGAATTTTATGGTTATGGCATGAACGAAAATGGATAACGATGGGGCAGGACTTCATGCGCCAGGGGACCTATACGCCGTGACCTTGCCCGTATAGTGACCCCTCTGCGGGGAGTGTGCTAGGCACTCGGAAAGGGGCCCCTGGGCTTCTGGGCCCCTCGGACTAGGGAGCACTTGGGCTCACTCGTGGCTGGCATATTCAGCCTGCGTCGGGCAAATGGGATGTCGCGAGGACACAGCATGAAGCGAGGAAGGTGCGGATAACAGCTTTCAATCGGGTCATACTGGTCAATGCCTTAGCGCCGAAGTTTTGAGTTCATGACCACATAAAAATCCAAGCTGCCACCGGTACATCCCAAAACGGTTGGAAAATATTAAAACACACATAGGCAACCAACAATTAGCTGGTTGAGCGGGGCAGGCTAAATCTTAAGAAGTGATCTTCGTATGTAAACAAAGCTATCGATTTTCGTCAACGGCGAGATAGAACCAGTGTCTCTTCTTTCAAACTAAGGTTTTAGTTACTACCGCTAGGTGGCACAAACACAATCTATTCTTCGACGTTTACGGCGTCTTCTGACAATTCGTGCGTACGCTGTGTAACTGTTGCACAGTTCATGGACGGTTATCGGCATTTGGGACGGTTGTTGTTGCTTCTGTAAGGCGGTTGCCTGTGTCACCAAGCAGACGTGTGCAAGTCTAGAAGCAGCGCGATACAAGCTATCTTCCCACCGGTATATTGCTGTGAGAGAATGTCATTTCGGTGCATTACTCCTCATCTGGAATGGGCGCTATAACTCCAAGTCGTGGTTTAGCTGTTAATTTTTAAGTTATTGGGTGCAGTTTGATGTGGGTATTTTGTCTCTTTCTTTTTTAAATGTATGCTGTGCTTAGGAAGGTTTTCCTTGTCTTCCCAAGGATCTTTATGAAGGCATTATTTTTTGGCAATACTATCCTACTTCTAAGGCCAGAATGTGAACTGTTCTTTTTTCACTGATTTGACAAGCAATGCTCATAATTTCAGGGGCAAGGCCATTTTGAAAGATTTTGAGGCTTATATTTTGATATGCAACACAGTTCATGCTGGCTACTTGTGTGGACAATGATCTGGAAGAAGGGGTGTTGTCTCCTATTAATATGTGGGGTTGAACTGGGACTGAAGTTTGGGAATAAGGTGGGCCAAATCTGGGGAGAAAACTATTTGTTTGCACATTTTGGGGTAAGTTTGGTCATGTTTTTGCTGCTCAGCCCCCTCCTCTGAACTCATGTGAACCTTTGGCCTTATCTTAAGGCAGTTGGTCACTGTTGGAATTTAAACATTTGAACTGTAATAGTACTTAAAGCTTTTATAACATTGGTTAGCCTCTAAGAAATTGCTTGCCACATGCAACGATAACATCTTAAGATGAGGGGGTGTGAAAACTGACAACCAGGAATGTAAATCATCTTGTGCAGATTACAGACATTTCCAACTTAGAAATAAATATGCAACCAAACTATTGCATGTGATGCTTGCACTAAATCCATGTATATGTTTCAGGTAGGTGTAGATCATTTGGCTGAGAAGCAGCTGAAATGCTTTAGTTTTTGGGACACCATTGCTCATGTTTTGTACGTCAGATACAAAACCAATAAATAGCATGAATGGCTCAAATATTTTGGATTGTAAGGCTAGCAACCAAGTATAAGGGCTAAATCTTTGTGGCAGGGGGCCGCTATTATGAGAAGATCAGAAGCTGTTACATTTGGTCCACCCAGAGATTCACCAAGCTCAGGTGCTGATGTACCTAGATGCTGAGTTGATGACTGCTGGGTTTTATGCTGATTGTCTAATCTTGAGCAAGTTTGAGTATGGAGACCAGTAAAAGGCAGTGAATCCAGGGCCAGGGTGGCAACAACATAAGAATATTGACATTTCTGCTTCTCATTAAATCAAATATTGAAACGATCTGGAATTGGGATGTCAATGTCATGTTTTTATATGCAAAAATTATGCTGACACTGCTATGGAATTCCAGTGATGGGCCATGCTTGAACCCATGTGTAGCATGATGTATCTGCAGTTACAAAATATACTACTTCATGTTAACAAAAATGAACAGCCCATGCACATGAACATGATGCTGTTTAGATATATGTTGTCATGTACTGAAAACTCATAAATTTGGAACCTTTTGAATGGTCAAGGGTACATTGCCTTCTATGTTATGCCAGTTATGTTCCCAGTGGCCTGCTACTGCCAGGAGACCACTAAGGATCCTTGCCTGTGCTATTTTTAGTTGTCTGTGTAATAACATAGCCAACAACTATTGTATTAGACATCATCAGTAGCTTTCAATACAAGTAAGCAGTGTAACATTGCTAGTCATGTATGCCCAATGGCCAATTTATCATGTGCGATTACCAGGAACACCAAACAGGATTCTGACTGCAGGCACTCATGTTTGCAGTTTCTGCTATGTGCACAGCTTAGTACACCAAAGTTTGTCATTTCATGTGGCTATCCCAGCAATATGTCCCCCATGAGGGGGTGAGTTATGGAATCCAGTGAACAACTTACCTGTTCTACTTATTCTGAATGCTTTGCATGAGTGGCATGTAACTTAGAGTTAATACCAAGCAGGGGCTGTCATTGCTTACACCCTGAACTCATAACCCAGATGTTGCTACTCTGGCTGAGCAGATAACTTTATCTGACATTGTTCACCAGGCCATACCACACCAAGACATAAAGCCTGCCATGACCATGTCCTGGGCTGGGTCTCCAGATACAAGCACATGCATGGCTGCTGTGTATGTTGTCAGGCCAAAATCTTGGGCTGAGTATTTGTGTAGGAAACTGGAAAATTATGTCTATGCAAGAGATAAAACAGTGCTTTTTGATACAAGGAAGTACAAAATTGCTTTTTGAAATAGGCCTATCTAGGTTTGGAATTCATGGTATAAGAGTCACCTGGGACCAAGGTATAGCTAAAAAAATTCATGTGACACTATTTTGATTTATTTGGGAACATCATTAATTGGCCAAGCTTCATCGATGGAAAACGCGATTGATGTGTCCAAAATTGTCCTGCAAACTATCAGAAATTGTCTCTAGCATTGACCTGGAATGGTGTCCCTGTCAGTGTCTCCTGTGATGTCCCTGTTATGACCTCATGCCCCTTGTCAGTGTCCCCCATGGTGTCCCTGTTCTGACCTTGTGTCTCTGTTCCTGTCAGTATCCCCTGCAGTGTCCATCCTCTGACCTCCTTTCCCTGTCCCTGTACTGACCTCCTGTCCTGGTACCCTCGTCCCCCCTTCAATGTTCCCCCTGTGTCTCTGTTCTGAGCTCCCCCACCATCAGCAGCCGGCGTCTCCGGACCTGACCGTGGGCCGTGTATCCGCCAGTGAGACGAGATGCGGCGCGGCCACTGAGCGGCGCGCGAGTCCGCAGCCATGCCGCGCTACACGTGCAAGCGGCCGCCGCCGGCGCCCACCTCCTCAATCCAGTTTGATGCCGGCGTCTCTGACCGCAAGCCGACGGCGGCCAAGTCGGCCGGCACGCTCGGCCGCTGGGGCGTCACCAGCTTCACCTCCATCCGCAGCAGCATCGTCAATGGTGAGCGTGCTGGTGCCGGCGGCGGCGGGACCGAAGGCTGGCTGCGGCGGTGGTCCGGGCCGGTCGGGTGGGGCTTTGCTGGGGCTGGGGAGTCCCTGTGGTCCTGTGCCGAGGCGGACAGGACTCGCGCCGTCTCACTGGGCGGTGGCTCGCTCGGAAGTACGCTCTTGGTGTGCAGGGGATGTTTTCGTGCAATGGATGTTTCGCGCAATGATTTGGTAGATGTGGAACGGCCGCGTGGTCCTGAATGGACCTTTCACTGGTTATAACTGCCGTGGGCTTCCAGAAACTACGAAGTGTCTGTCCATGAATAACGTTATATAGCATCCCAAAAACGTAACCTCCGCTTTCCCGTTAATTGACCTGAGGCGACGTGAAATAAATGACGGGCACGCTCCTTGTGACAAGAGAAGGCCAACAGTCTGTGGTTGTACGGTTTCATTTTGTTTTAAAGATTTGAGCATGATTAACAGCCGTACCTGAGCACGACGTTACACCGTTTAATGTTTCTCCTCCCTCTCTTGTTGCACTTCCGTTACGCTCCACAAAAACCCTCCACTCGTCATTCGTGACCCAATTCATGGACGACCCCTAAGTCACAATGTTCCTTTGTTTGTTGGTATGAGCATTCTGCAGTTACAGTCATGTCCCTTGTTCGATCAAAATAGGCATAACAGCGGACTGATATGTTAGCATCGTGATCACAGCGTGTAAAGCGCTGGCTATGGTTGGTACGTCAGTTAGCATCAGAACTTGTCCACAGTTTGTGTCTTGTAGGACCGCTCAGGTGATGTCAATATGTTAATGCTCAAGGGTATCAATTTACCGCCCAACAGTGAAACACAGGTACGTAACGATATGCAGTCATCCTTGAAAGATGTGTGCGATTTGCTCTGCTTCGCCGTAATCGCCACGATCGCTACTTCAGATGTATGTGAATGCAATTGAGCGGTACTTGAAAATATGATGCTACAAATGACTGGTGATGCTTATAATAATGCTGCTGCATTCACGCCCTTGTGATAAACAAGTGAAATATAACATGGGATGCACCAAGCCCCTAAATAAAGGTAATGGTGGTGCAGAGCCGGACTACGTGCTGCTCTCATGTTTCCATTACGGGATCCAAATAAAGTTATGGGGGTGGGGGGGGAGCAGCAGGCCCATGCCTGCAAGACAGCAAAGAAAGTTTTTTTTGTTTTGATATAGCATGGCATCAAAATTTGGAGAACAATTTAATAATTGTGGCTTTGCCTTCTTAAAGCTGGATACTGCCCGTGCCTTCGCATGATTCAACAGCAGTTTGCCTCTTTAACAAAGCATTTATTCATCTATTAGCCTGCACGTTTTGTATGGAGGCTGCACTTGGCTGCTAACAACCACCTGGCATCCAATAGATCGTTCATTAAAATTCTCAATTCCACTTTCGAGCGTCTTGTCCCTGCAGGTGCTGTGAGTGCCAATGCCAGTGTTCACACCACTTCTGCTACTGGCAGCAAAGCGTTGCCTCATGTCACGTGTTCACGCGTTCTGTGTCAGCAGCCGCCCGCGGGTGCGGCGTCTCTCCGGCTGCCGCTGATTCGGCTGCTCTGATTCGGCCGCTGCTGATCCGGCTGTTGCTGGCCTGGCCGCCCCTCCCTCCCCTCACCCCTCCCCTGACTCCGCCCGTGCTCGCCGGCAGGCTCTGCTTCGGCCGCTGCTGATCCGCTAACCTCCACCACCTCCCCTGACTCCGCCCGTGCTCGCCGGCAGGCTCTGGCGCGCCGGGCGAGGCGGACCCCGTCGACGGTCGTCCGGCGTCGCCGCCGCCGGCGCACGCCGACCCGTTCTCGTTCGAGTCGACCACGCCCGGGGGCGCGGCCGCGCCCGTTCGCAAGGTGGGCCAGCCCCGGCGGCGACCGCCGCGCCGGCGGCAGTGAGGCTGGGCGAGCGGGTGGCGGGCGCGGGCGCGTGTGGGTTGGCGGGATGGTGAGGGGTCGGGTGTGTGATTGGTATGGGGTTGAGGGCGGTTCAGGAGAGTTTGTGGGGGTGGGGAAGCGTAGAGCACGGAAGCGACGCCGGAAGTGTAATATGTTACCTTGTGGACGTCGAACCCTTAACGTCCAGGCATTTACACGTTACACGTCTAACTGCCTGGCCGTGCTTTATGGTTCGATATAGAACTACAGTCAACTCTCAGTTGCCGGAACACAGCCGGAATATCAGTTGTCATTCTTAATTTTACATGACGGAACTACAGTCAACTCTCAGTTGCCGGAACACAGCCGGAATATCAGTTCTCATTCTTAATTTTAAATAGAAACTAATGTAGGTTGTTCCCTGAACATGATAACTTATGTTAGTTAACCAACGTCCGGCATCAACCGGCGTTAGGAAAAACTTATGTTAACCAACGTTCAGCATCAACTGACGTCAGGAAGCGGCTTAAACTCCACTAGCTCAGGAGCGATGGGGGATCACACTTGAGTACGCGTGCGTGCTTGTTTGGCGTATTCAGTGCGTGATGGTGTGCACCGGCGCATCACACCCGCCGCCCGGCGCTTGCCGGCCGCCCTCCCGCACCCCGACTGACCCCGGCCGTGGGCGCCGTGTCGGCAGGTGAAGAAGTTCTTCAAGTCCCGCAACGCGCCGGCCGTGCAGGCGGCCGCGGCGGCGGTGGCGGAGCAGCGCCGCCAGCTGCTGCTGTCCCGGCCGGCGCCGCCGCCGCCGCCACCCACCGACGACCTGCAGAACGTGCTCTCGCCAGCTGATGACAAGGTGGGCCAATGGTGCTGGGTAATGAGCGGGCAGTAGGGGCCGGCAGAAAGCACGGGTAGAAGGGGTGAGCAGAGCACACAGGCCCGTACGGGCGGGCAGAAGGCGCGGGCGGAAGGGACGGGCAAAAGGCGCGGACAGTTGGGGCGGGCAGTAGGCGTGGGTAGAAAGCACAGGCAGTAAGAGTGGACAGTAGGCGCTACAGACGGCGAACTTGCTGGAATTTGGCTGCCGCTTACCTGGTGATACTGCGCCGAAGAGAATGCCAAAAAACAGGACAAGGAAGCCGGTTGCTCCGAGACCGAAGCGTGGTTGTAAAGAGGCGGCGCTGGTAAGAGACTGAGCTGTGGTAAACCGGTGAGAGGCGGAGGTGGGGTGAGCTGGTGAGAGACGGGGCTGTGTGGTGAACTGGTGGGAGACGGGGCTATGGAGTGAGCTGGCAAGATACTAGGCTGTGAGGTAAGCTGGTGAGAGGCGGAGCTACGGTGTGAGCTGGTGAGAGACGGGTGTTTTGTGAGCCAGTCTGCGGCTGCCAGGTCCTATCAGCTGTGTTGGGCGGGCCAGTGGTCCTCAGTCCTAATCGGCGTGCCTTTGTGGGGCGGTTGTCATGTTTCGCCGCACTTAAGGTGTGGCCGACTCCGATAAGAGACGCGCGGTGGGCAGGCAGAACCTCGAGTCTGCGGTCATTATGCATCAGAATAGCCGCAGAAAGGACGAGATGCTTTTGTTAGCATAGAACGCATTTGTATGCGCTTTTTTGATTTGGCGCAATAACGTCTGTATGGGGACCAAGGGTTTTTGAAGTTATTGGCTGGACTGGGCCGGCTGTTGAGAAGCCTTCTGTTAATGGCGGTTAAAATCACGGGGTACCTTAGAGGTGAAGTCTTCGAACATCATCAGTGCTGGGTGAGCGGCTCCAGCCACGCCGGACACACCCGCGGCCCGTGCCGGCGTCTCCCCACGACTCCCAGAGACCGTGCCTCACTCGGCCGTGTATCGCAGCCAGACGCAGTCGTGACAGCCGGGTATACTCGTGCAGTCGCGGTGGGCCGCTGCTTTGAACGGCCCCGGTGCTGCCGCCTGGTGTTGATCTGTGTCAGTACTTCGCGAGCGTTACACGGGCCGTCGGCTGGCCCAAAACCGGCGCTTCCTTGCTTCTGGTAATGGAATGACACTTTCCATTGGTGCGTGTCTTCTGGACGACCGCAAGACTGGGATCCAAAAGCGTTTCGGGATTTTGATCGCTGTCTTGTTTTTGCGATCGCGGTGCTCGGTGGCAAAAAGTGCGTCAGTTTGGATACCACTGCGCCATTACCGAGTATGCTCATGCTTTGCCTTTCATGTTCCGTTGTCATCTTCTGGGCAGACCTTGCGACTCCGTTGATTGCTTTCGTGCGAGTCAAACTCGCATCATTATGCTAAAAAATTGTCAGCACATATCCATTCCAATTTTTCACCTGATCACATCGTATCGCTTGAGTATTTCCGGTAATATTGACACTTCTTGACAGCGCCCTGCCCTGCCCTGCCCTGCCCTGCCCCGTCCTGCGCTGCGCTGCCCTGAGGCGCCCTGCCGTATTCTGCCCCGCCCCGCCCTGCTGTGCCCTGCCGTGCCCTGCCCTGACCCGCTTCACCCGCCGCCAGGAGGAGCCGGAGAGCAAGCGGTTCTTCAGCTCGCCGGCCGTCTCGCTGCCGCTGCGCGACTCCACCACCACCCGCACCAACTCACTGAGCCCGCGCGAGCCGGCCGCTGCGCCGCCCCAGGTCTGTCAGCGGGCCTTTCGTCGCCGGGAGGGGGGGGGGGGGCTGTCTCCCCGGAGCGGGCGAGACATGTGTGTACATTTGTGTACATGTGCTTGTGTGAGTGTGTGCACATGGCCCAAATGGTTTGGTGAGCGGCCGTATCCCCTGGGATGTTGTTTTCGCACCGGGTCGTGGCATGCTCTCCCACCTGTGTTGGCGTAGCTGCAGCGCGCCGCCCGGCCTGCCGCCGTCCGTCGGCGGCTCGGACGGCCGGCGCGGGCGGCGCGCTGGCGGACGCGTCAGCCTCGGTCAAGTGCACGTGTCTGATGGATGTGTGCACCGCTCGGGGAGACGTGGGAATGGGTGGCGGATGGTGCCGCCGCCGAGTGCTCGCGCCGGCCGCTGACACCGCGCGCGCCGCGCCCTCCGTGCGGCAGGTGACGCGCCTGCCGCCGCTGAAGCTGCGCATCTCGCGCGACAAGGACACCGGCGACCTGACGGCAGTCAGCGGGCCGCCGGCGGAGAGCGGCGGCGGCGGCGGCGGCGGCGGCGGCGGTGGAGGAGGCGGCGGAGGAGGCGGCGGAGGAGGCGGAGGAGGACACCGCAGGAGGCGGCCGCCGCCCGCCCCGGCCGCGCCCCACCCGCCCAAGGCGGCCAGGTACTCACTCGGTCCGACGCCGACGGAACTGGCGGCCGCGGTGGAAGCGGCTCCTTTGGGACGGAGGGATCTGCAGGGCTTTGCTTTCGTGGTCGACTAAGGCGCCTCAAGCGCCCGTGACAATGTCGGCAGCGGTGTTGAGCTGTCGTTGTTTTCCCGTTGTTGTCCCAATCGCGTTGTCCTTTTGATTTGCTGTCGTGAAGGAAGATTGTTGTGTGGTGTTGAAGAAGACACGAGTTCGTTAACATCAGACCACGCGGAATGGTATGTGACTTCCGATGCGCCGAAGCCTGGGAGCTAAGAACCGAACCGAATCGGGCATCATTACGTCCGGCCCTGCGTGCGCGAAACTGTCGGAGAATGTACGCGAAACTATCTATCATCGGCGTTTTCGTGGGCCGTGGTCATACCGGGTATACCGGGCTCAGTTCTCTCGAGCTTTCAAAGTGTGCGCTAATCAAAGTATAGCACTTTATACATTGTGTTGCCATAACTATGTGGTCATACCCATAGGTCATGCTCATCGTCCTGTTTTTGAGGAGACCGCGATGCACGTTGTCGAGCGTCCTTTGATGTGGTGTCAGCAACCGCGGAGGTCATATAAGTGCTCAGGGCCATGACTGCTGGGATGCGATCCCGGCGTTCCGCGTGGGAGCAGCCACTCAGTCATTTCGCGTCCTTCTCCACCGTCCAGAGCGTGCCGCACGTCACGTCACGTGCATGTGTGCCATGACGTACGTCACGTGCCGCGTGCGCCGTGCACGCACGGCACGCGATCGACGCGGCTGACGGGCGCCTGCCTGACGCCGCTGCCGCGCGCCGTCAGGTACGAGCCGCCGGCGGCGCGCACGCCGTCCCCGCCGGCCCGGCCGGAGGAGGAGCCGACAGAGGGGCGGTCCGTGCGCCGCACACGGCGCGCCGCCGCGCTTGAGGCCCGCGAGCGCGTGGCCAAGACGGTGCAGTACGGCGACGACGAGGACGACGAGCAGCTGGCGGCGCTGGCGGCGCCGGCGCGCGGCAGGAGGACGCAGCGGCGGCGCGGATCGTCCACCAGCGAACCGGTCGCTGCCGTTCCGGCGCCGGTGCCGGAGGCGTCGCCGCCGTCCTCGCCGGCGGTGCAGGGCGAGGCGGCGTCGCCAGCCGCCGCCTCCCCCGCCGCTTCTCCCGCTGCCTCCCCTGCTGCCTCCCCTCTTGCCGGCTCCCCCGATGCCTCCCCTGCTGCCTCCCCTGCTGGGTCCCCTCCTGCCGCCTCCCCCGCCGCCTCTCCGGGCCTTGTCAACAATCAAGCCGTGGAGCGAGTCACCGAGCCGGCCGCCCCGGTCCCGGCCCCGGCCCCGGCCCCGGCCCCGGCCCCGGCACCGGCACCGGCACCGGCACCAGCCCCGGCGTCAGCCCCAACCCCGGCTCCGGTCCCGGCCCCGGCCTTGGCTCCAGCCCCAGCCCCAGCTCCAGCCCCAGCACCAGCACCAGCCCCAGCCCCAGCACCAGCTCCGGTGCCGGCAGCCGAGGCGGCCTCGGAGCCGGTGAACCTGAGCACGCGCCGCCCGCCGGCCGACCTGGAGCGCCAGCTCAGCTCGCTGTTCGGCGAGCCGGCCGCCGCCGGCAACGGCGTGTTGGACAGCGTCGCCGAGCCGCAGCCGGAGCCTCAGCCGGAGCCGGCGCCCGGGCCGGAACCGGAGCCCACCTCCAGGGTCTACCGCAAAGGTTAGTCCGCGCCGCCCGTGGGGCGCAGGCCGTGTTGTCGCTGGATGCAGTGTCATGCGGGAGGTGCGCTGTGCGGCGTCACGGCGTGGTGTATGGTACCTACGTGCTGTGTCGCGTGTATGATGGACAACTACGCGATAAGGTATTCTCAAGTATGTTGGTGTGCGTGCTAGTTTGATCATGCACGCACGATCATTCGGACGTGGTCACGCATGGAAGTGGCCAGCCCTCAGCGGGACAGAATTTCCCAGAACCCGCTGACACATTCCCAGAACCCGCTGACACATTCCCAGAACCCGCTGTCGCTAAAAACCGAGCGCGATTGGTGCCTGACGGTGTTGCCGTTGTTTTTGCAGGGATGATGACGCGACGTACACGATGTTATGATCTGAAAATGCGGGATGAGTGATAGTAATGACGATAATGCGTGCATCTCACTTGCGGTTGTTCAGTTTCAGGAATTTCTTCTCCCTTTTGGTCAGAGACGTCGCACTTCTTTACCCTGGCCATGTGCACAAAATGCCCTCAGACGGTGACACGCCCTGCGACCCCAGTCATCACACTGGCAACGGCAGCCAGTGTCAACCACCGGACAGGATGACAGGCTGCCGGAGGGCAGGGGCGGGGCGCGGGCAGCCTCCCGAGTGACTCCGGGGGTGCGCCTCGCAGGTATCAAGGACCTGGGCCGGTACCAGCGGACGCAGGCGAGCGGCGCCAGCCCACAGCGGTACGCCGACCTGGAGACGCAGCTGGAGCTGTTGGAGACGGGCAGGCCGCAGGAGCGTGAGACGACGCGGCTGGAGCGGCGGCCGGCCGGCCAGCGGCAGACGGCGCAGCCGCGCCAGCAGCAGCAGCCGCCGCAGCCGCAGCCGCAGCAGCAGCCGCAGCAGCAGGAGACGCCGCCGCTGGAGCAGGAGCGCGAGGAGCCGCCTCGGGAACGGGAGACGGCAGCACCGCCGCTGGTCCGCGCCAGCACGGAGCCCGGTGAGTGGCGCAGGCGGCGCGGATGATACGAGAGCACGGAGTCGTTCGGGGCGCGGGTTACAAGGTGGTAATAACACTTCGGTGAGAAAACGACGACTGAAAAAGAGAAAAAGGCTTAGATGGAGGATGTTCAAGGGAAACGTGCTTTGTTGTTGTTTGGATCCCATACCCTTGTTTTTATGGGTTTTTTCTTTGTTTGCCAAATGCCGAAACAACGGTTAACCCATCGGAACTCACCGTTGGGCGAGTGTTGGCCGCGTCTCTGAGTCAGTGTCTGTCAAAGCTAGTACTGTCTGAATCGATGTCTGTCTCCGAATCTATCTGTCTCTTAATTTGAGTGTCTCCGAGGCAGTGTCTGTGTCTGAATCAGTAGTGGTTCCGAGCCAGGGTCTGTGCCTGAATCAGTAGTGTTTCCGAGCCAGTGTCTGTGTCTGAATCTGAATCTGAGTGTTTCTGAGCGATTGTCTGTGTCTGAATCCTGTATGTTTCCGAGCCGGTGTCTGTGTCTGAATCAGTAATGTTTCTGAGCAAGTGTCTGTGTCTGAATCAGTAGTGTTTCCGAGCCAGTGTCTGTGTCTGAATCATTGGTGTTTCTGAGCCATTGTCTGTGTCTGAATCAGTAATTTTCCGAGTCTGTGTCTGTGTCTGAATCAGTAGTGTTTCTGAGCCAGTGTCTGTGTCTGAATCAGCAGTGCGTCTGGGCCATTGTCTGTGTCTGAATCAGTAATGTTTCCGAGTCATTGTCTGTGTCTGAATCAGTAGTGTTTCTGAGCCAGTGTCTGTGTCTAAATCAGCAGTGCTTCTGAGCCATTGCCTGTGTCTGAATCAGTAATGTTTCCTAGTCAGTGTCTGTGTCTGTGTCTGAATCAGTAATGTTTCCGAGTTAGTGTCTGTGTCTGTGTCTGAATCAGTAATGTTTCCGAGTCAGTGTCTGTGTCTGAATCAGTAATGTTTCTGAGTGAGTGTCTGTGTCTGTGTCTGAATCAGTAATGTTTCCGAGTCAGTGTCAGTGTCTGTGTCTGTGTCTGAATCAGTAGTGTTTCTGAACCAGTGTCGCTCCCACCGGCCGTCGCGTCCGTGTGTCGGGACACCACGCCGGCTCCTCTGTCGGTCCTGACCTGACCTGCGTGCCGCTGCAGTGGAGCTGACCTCGGCCCTGAGGAGCTCTCGGTCCACCGCGGGCGCCGCCGCCGCCTCGGCCAAGGTGCGTACGCTGGGGGGTGGCCGCGCGCCCCTTCGTGGAGCTGCTTGCTCTCGGTTAACTCGGCTTAAGCTACGGGGAGCCTGTCACGTGTTCCCAAAACCCATCGTCCAGGTTGTACGGCTCCGGTTTGTGGGATAATTTTGCCACGACCGTGTCCAGCGAGACAGGACTGTGGGGATCAGCTGTTTCTTCTGAGCCAGTGTCTGTGTCCGAATCAGTAGTGTCTCCGTGCCAGTGTCTGAGTCAGTGTCCGTGTACAGCGCTGTGAGGCGGCCGCCTCGCGCCGGGTCGACCCCTGCTGACACCTAATCACACCCTTGTCCAGTTGTCTAGTCCAGTCCAGTCCAGTATTGTCCAGAGCGGGCCGCGAGTTCATCCTAGATCGCCGAACCACGGACGCGGTACGCGGTGATGGATTCGGCGGAACAGAGTCGGTGACCGACGATTGTGGGTTCGGTCCTCGGTCACGGAACTTTTAGTCGGTGTGGTGCGCTGGAGGCTTTATGTAGGACTGGTAAATAGCATAGCAGTTATACGTCACTTCTGGCTTAAGTGTGCATTTATGTTGTTCAAGGCGGCCATTCCACGACTGGTGCGCGGTGTGACCACACCAAAGTCGGTCATTTGGCAGAAATCCCCCGAAGGGTGCGCAGTCTGGCGGGTGCGGGTGCAGGGCGGCACCCATGGCGGCGTCTGGCGGGTGCGGGTGCAGGGCGACACCCATGGCGGCGTCTCTGCGCGGCCCTCACCCACCTTGGCTTCGGGGGGAGGAGGGGGGGGGGTCAGAGCGGTGTTCAGTCAGCCTGACCTTGACTTCTCGGCCGCCATGCTATCGGTGACCTTCAGCGTGGCAGGCGGCGAACGGACGCGCTCGCGGCGTGCCTACGGACGGGACTCGGCCTCGATGTGAAGTGGTGGACGGACGTTTTTTGCACTTTGCGCGTCTTTGTCTCGCCCCTCCGCCTCGGTGCGTGGTTGGTCTCGCCCATTGCCATGCTTCGCTCTCGCTGATGTCGCTGCTGCCATCTGTCTCGATACGTGTATTTTCTCCCGTTAGCGATAGTGATTGTTTCGTTGCGATAGTGGGCTGGTAGGTTAGTAAGATAGTAATGGTTAGTAGGATATTCGGTGATAGTAAGGTAGGTTATTGCAGTGGTGCATAGGATATGCAGTTACATGACGGTACGAGCCACAAACGGCACACGCCGATCTCTTAAATCGTGATATATTTCACCGAATTCATTTACGACCACGTCACCATCACGCATATCACATGTCATCCGTTTCTCCTGGACATCAGTCCATTGCCGCGTTCACGCCATTCAGTTACATCAGGAAGCCACCAGGGGCACAGCGGGAGGCCACTTCATGCATTAGGCAGCCACCAGGGGCGCGCCTGGCGCGCTTTCCGGGCACCTCCGGGAGCGGCGGCGCGCTCTGGTGTTCGCCTCTGATCTCCCCGCCGTCGTTGCCGGCTGACGTTCGCGCGAGCTGGCGTCGTGCCCTTCCGCGCAACACATCCTGTGCGCTGCCGCCTCGTCGGCACCCTCCGCTCCGCTCGTCGGCGCCCTCCGCTCCGCTCGTCGGCGCCCTCCGCTCCGCTCGTCGGCACCCTCCGCTCCGCTCGTCGGCGCCCTCCGCTCCGCTCGTCGGCGCCCTCCGCTCCGCTCGTCGGCGCCCCCGCTCCGCCTCAGGCTGTCCTCTTGAACGTCTGCGTGCACTCTGTGTCGCTGATCCGCATGGTGATGCGGAGCTGGTCGTCGGCGAACTCGCGGATGATCTCGGTGGTACGGCCGTTCTGCACGGCCCGCTCGGTGAGCACAGCGCCCTGGCGGGTGACCACGCTGCGCACCTCCTTGCCGTCGACGGCGCGGCGGAAGCGGTGCGGCACGCCCAGGTCGAACTCGCGCACGGTGGAGCGTGCGGCCATCGCCTGGTCGAAGCGCCAGTGGTCGCCGACGACGGACACGGCGATGGTGGGCTGGGCGGAGCGGGCCACCAGCCGCGTCAGCAGACCGATGCCCAGCGCCAGCATGCAGGCGTCGGTGTTGTGCGAGGCGGCCAGCGCGTACGTGCCGCCGAGCTGCGGCATCGGGGCGACCTGCTCCATCGCTGATTGGCTGCTGGGGGTGGGCGGCGAGGGTGGCCGGGCGGTGCGAGCTGCTCGGGAGCGGCGCGTGCGGCAGGGGCGGGCGCTGGCGGCGGTGTGGCGGCCCGCGGGACCGTGCTATCGGCGTCGCCTCGGCGGCCGCCGCGGGAGGCCTTGTCCGCGGCGCGGAGACGGCGCTGGACGACGTCTCGCTATCGACGCCCGCCGGCCCCGTTCGGTTTTTTGTCGGGACGGTAATCTGCGGACAGACGGACCGGCGCGAGGCACCTTCGCGAACTCGCTCGGTCGCGTTCGAGAGGTCAGGTGTAGTCGCTCGAACACGGCAGGAGAGGAAAGACTGAAGAAGCTGGGGGACGAGTCCACGCATGGTTTTTATGCGTGGGGCACGGGCCCATGCTTGGCCAGTACTTGTCAAGCTGCCAATTAAAGGGTGTGCCCGCGCGGTTTGCGTGTAGTCACGTGAGGTCTGTGATCGTCTCTTCCAGGTGTTTTTCGGTACTCACCTTTGTTATTGTCGCTATGGTTAGCTCGGTACCCACCGCCTCGAGCATATAGGCTGTTATTGACTCGTACCGCTTCGCCGCCGGCATCCATTTTGTGATGTTGGCGTTCCAAGAAGTCTCCTAAAGACATGCGTGCAGGAAATCCCATCAGCGCTCAGTCCAGTTGCCTTCTTACAGCGGTGTCCGTGTTCATCTCTAGCCCCTGTTCGGGCGCAAAGTGGCCACAATAGTTGGTGCGTGCTAAAGCCCCCATCATCATCGTCAACCGGGCGTCGTTACTGATGAGCTCCGATGGCTTGGGAAGCCCATGCGGGTTGATGCAGCGTGGTGTTCAACCCCCACTGTTTCCTGTTGAGATCCTCATCTGTCGTTTTATGACATCATATCCTTTGTAGGGACCGCTGATCCTGTTGATTCAAAGGGAATGTTTTACATCTGAAGATGTTGAAATAAGCATCAGATATGATGAAACAAGCTCACTTGTAACTATTGGTGTACTTTAAGTGGAAAAGACCGCTCTAGACAGCTTATTTATTAGACAGCTAATTTCTCTCCTCAGTAAGTATGCTCCTCAATGCGTCTTGGTTTCATTACGTCATCGTACCTTGCACAACCTTGATTGAGAGCCCGTTGACGGTTTTTTACGTGGAAGTGGCGCGCGCGAAAGCCAAATATAAACGCCTCGACACTTATATTTTGCTTGGCCTTGATCGTAGCCTGGGTTATGAAATTGCAGGATTTGATTGACGTCATGACGTCATGAGTGTCCAGGTGACTGAAGGACTCTCCGATGTACCTTCCCCTTTTCGCGGGCATCCATCTCAAAACGTAGAAAAGTTGAGGTCTTAAGAAGGGCAGGATTGTGAACAGCACCGAAGGCTCTTTAAAATGGCTATTTTAGCTCAAACCCCCACATCAATGTGGAGCACTCCTTTAAACGTTTGCATCCCGAGAACTTTCACCGGTTTTCCGCCCGTTAAACTGTTTGTGCAGGAAGACGATTTGAGTCTTGCTGCGACGGCATCCTCCCGCTGGTCTCAAGTGCACTTCGCCGATAAAGAAAGGTCAGAACCTCGCTGCAGAAAACACTGGCCTTGGTTTACTGGACGGGTGTGATACTGCGTCAGGTGTTCAGATGTTACAAGCGCTTGTTAATGACCGCGCAGGGACGTCCCCCGTCCCCGGACGTGCCGATGCAGGGTGGCCGTGTCGTCCGGCTGCCGACGCGGTCCATGTGTACCCGGTGTTGCCGTTGACCGCCGCCGCCGCCGCCGCCGCCAGGGTCCGCCGGCGTCGGCCGCCGAGCCGCGCAAGGGCTCCATCTTCAAGTCGCGCACGGGTCAGGGCCGCTCGGCCCGGGCCCGCTACAACCACCGCTGGACGGACGACGGCGACGAGGCCGGCCGGCCGCCGGTGGCAGCAGCCGCCGCCGCCGCACCCGCCGCGGGTAAGTGCCCGCCCCTGCCGCCGCCGCTGGGGGTGGCGGCGGTCCCGGACGTGATGCCGACCCGGGGCGACGTGCAGGGGGGAGGAGGGGGGGGGGGGGGGGGGGGTAAGATGCGCGCGCTCGCGATTGCGTTGTTGTCGCCCGTTGTGGCGTGGCCGGCCTCCACCGCCGGTGTGGGCCCCAGCACGGTTTAGGGAGCGTGGTGTGTGCCGTGATATTGTCTCCGTGCATTCGTGCTTCAGGCCGTTGAGCGGCGCCCCCTGCCCACTCCGTGCGTGTCCGGTGGTTGTGTCATCCCGGAGTGTGTCGCTTCTCCCCTCGCTGCGCCTCTGTCACACTACAAAGGGCACCGACAGTTCGTCGCCTGTCATTCCGCCCGGAGCGCGTCCCTTCCACCAGTTTTCTTTTTATCTTTCTTATTTTCCCTTTTATCCCTTCACTAGCTCTCGGCCCTCTCCGCTTTTCCGTTCCTTCCCGACTGCACGTTCGTGTCCGCCCCGATCGACTCCCCTGAGTGCGCCACTGCGTCGCTTTCCCCTCCCCTGAGCGCGCCCCTGCGTCTGACCCGTCCCCGGCCGGCGCGGCGGCAGATTCGGCGCCGGCGCGCTCGGCACTGGACTTCGCCGAGGAGGAGCCGGGCGCGGCGGCCGGGCCGGGCCCGCTCAGCGGCCGCCTCACGCGGGTCAGCACCTGGCACGGCGCCGACCCCAACGACACTGGCGAGCACGTGACCAGCGTCAAGTGCCACCGCAGTGCCAAGGAGGTGGGTCACGTGGCGGCGGTGGCAGCGCCGGCGCGGCTGGCTAGTGGGCGGGTGCCTGGACCGGACCTGAGGAAAGGCGGAGAGGCTGTGAGGATGCTAATGTTTGGGCAGGGGCGAAATAGGGACAGGAGCGGACGTAGACCTGTCTCAAGGGCATAAGCTTTGCACAACCGCGCAGTCGAAGTGCCCGAAAGCCTCAATAACCATATCTCTTAAATGGGGCGGTTGGGGTACACCGGGCTTCTGGCTGCTCGTACAGCACCCGTGGACCGTATATTGCGGGAGAAGTGTATCGGCCACTAGCAGACAGGTGTTTGGGCGTCACACAGGGGGCAGGCGCGGCCCGTCCCGCACGAAGCAGCTACCGCGTCAAATGCTCTCATTGGTTTGATAGCTGGCATTGTCCGATAGCTAGCGCTCTAATTGGTTCGAAAGCGAGCGTTGTGCGATAGCTAGCGCTTTGATTGGTCCGATGGCTAGCGTTATGATTGGTCCGATAGCTAGCGCTGTGCGATAACCAGTGCTCTGATTGGTCCACTAACCAGCGCTGTGTGGCGTGTCGGCAGTATTACACGGTGATTCAGAATGTGAAGAAAGCCTACCAGATCCAGGAGTTCGGCGAGTTCCAGGAGTACAACGACGACATCGAATACATCATGGACGCCCTGCAGCCTACCAACAGCGTGTCTACGAGGTGAGGCGCGGGTCGCCTGGGTCACGACCCGAGGTCAGACGGGTCACCTGGTCACGAGGCCAGCTGGCAGCGATGCTGTGGAAAGGTGCTCCGATGGGTTGCGGCGACACACTCATCATGTCGGCATGCAAACCACCATGGGATACTTGTATGTCGTGGCTTGCCGGGATGCATCCTCTGAGGCTGCGCGCTGGGACACAGCGGGTCCCAGTCATCCGGGCAGCTCTGAGAGCAGAGTTCTCCTGACCGTGTGGGCTCTTGACTCCATGTTCCCTAGGCCTCGGGTGAGCCGGGGCCAGTGCCCCGCAGCCGGAGATACTCCCCGGTCATCATGTTCTCCTGCCCTGGATCCCTAGAATCACCCCCGGGCGTTCCACCATCCGGTGAGCCCGGACGTGCTGAGGCCCTGACACCGCCGCTCTTAACATGCTGTGATGCTGATGCCGCCACTGTGGCGGTGTCTGGGGCTGCAGGCTGCTCCCTCCGCAGGGTCCTGGTCAGCCGCGGCCTGTCGCTCCCAGTGGGCCCCCCCCCCCCCCGCGGCGTCTGGGGCTGCAGGCTGCTCCCTCCGCAGGGTCCCGGTCAGCAGGGCCTGTCGCTCCCAGTGGTCCCCCCCCGCGGTGTCTGGGGCTGCAGGCTGCTCCCTCCGCAGGGTCCCGGTCAGCAGGGCCTGTCGCTCTCAGGGGTCCCCCCCCCCCCCGCGGCGTCTGCGTCCGCAGTCCCCGCGTCGCCCGTCTCCCCGGCCTCTCGATGATGTGATACCTCTCGATGTTGTGATAATGATGATGAGGTGATGGTGATGATGATGGTAGCGATGATAATATGCTGCCGTTAATGGTGATGACGACGACGACGATGATGATGATGATGATGATGATGATGATGGCAGCGATGATGGCAGCCATGGCGATGATGATCATGATGATGGTGATGGTGATGATGACGATGACGATGATCCGGCCTCACCGTCGCCACCGTGCGCTCTCTGACTGCCGTCTCGGCCGCGGCCTGCCGCCAGGTGTCTGTCGGCCACCCGCCTGGCCGGCAAGTGCATGGCGGCGGCGTTCCGAATGCACCTGCGCGCGCACGGCACGGTGACGCGCTTCTTCGCGGCGCTGGCCGACGCGCCGTCCGACCCCAGCCTCTCGCTCTGCACGTCGGCCGTCATGTTCATCCTCAGCGAGGACCAGCTCAACATGGACCTGGACAAGTGAGGTCTCCTGCGGGAGGGGGGGGGGGGAGCGTGATGGCGATATGCGAAGCCGGCGTGGGCGGGCTGAGGGAGGAGCGGGCGGGACAAGGAAGTGGACTGAGGTGAAGTTGAAATTGACAGTAAAGTTGATTTGAGTCGATGACTTGACTTGAACCAGCTGTATCAGCGGAGCGCTGCTGCGGGTGGGGGGGGGGGGGCGCATGTCGACTGAGTCTGTACGCGTCAGGAGCACCGGCGGTCACCTGAGCGTTGCAGGCAGATGGCGTGACCCCACCGCTGCCCCGGGGCGATCGGCCGCCTGACCCGCCGCCGTCTGCGGACGGCGTGACCCGACCGCTGCCCCTGGGGTGATCGGCCGCCTGACCCGCCGCCGTCTGCGCTCGGCAGGAGCAGCCTGGAGCTGATGCTGAGCCTGCTCGACTCGGACGCCACCGCGCCGTCGCCCGAGTCGGCCGAGTCCAACGGCGAGCTGTGCAAGAACCGCGCCAAGGTAGCGTCGTCGCGACCCGGACCGGCGCGCGACCTCAGGCCGGCGCGCGGCCGGGGCCGGCGCGCGCCCTCAGGCCGGCGCGCGGCCGGGACCGGCGCGCGCTCTCAGGCCGGCGCGCGCGGCCGGGCCTACGCGATCCGTTGCGATGCCGTTTTGGGTTTCATTCAATCTTTGAGTGAAGGAAGTCGTGGCACGGGCAGGCAACGGTGGTGGAGTCGCATATATAGTGGTGACGTTCCATCGTTGTGATCTCGCTAGGCTGTGGAATCGCTAGGCTCCATCTGTGGCCTGGGCCACGGATGGAGCAGGCTGTGGCCAAGGCTGATCCGTAGGGACCGAGGCAATGTTGCTGATGGCACGCCTCTATTCAGACCGTCGTCATGTTTAATAGCAAGCAGGGGCAAAGGAACGGGCAGCACCGGTGTGATCACGGGGCGTAGAGCCCGCGTGGCGTCCTCCCCGCGTATGCCCCCTTCCCCTTCCGTGACGTCGCCGTCGAGCGCCAGTGCGGACGGCCCTGTGACCGCTCCCCGCCGCCCTCCGCTCCGGCTCCCCGGCTGACCTGGCGCGCGGCGCAGGTGCGGGAGCTGTGCGCCCAGCTGCAACGGCAGGGCCAGGCCAAGCAGCTGAACCTGGACACCATCACGGCCGGCCACCTCTCCATGGAAACGCTGCTCAGCCTCACCTCTCAGCGCGCCGGCGCCTGGTTCAAGGTGCGAGGCCGGAGGCCGAGGCCCGCCGCCGCCGCCGCCGCCGCCGCCGCCGCCGCCGGGGGCCGTACTTGGTGTCGTGCCATGCGATGAGTGTGACGCCTGGCCGGCAATGGCTCGGTGGCGTGACGTCACTGCAGTGCAGTGGCGGTGTGACGTCACCGGTTAGCGGATTGAAAGTCGGCACGGCGGCGCGGCTTCGGCGCTTCGGTGTGGTTGTCGCGATCCAAACGGCCTCAAGCGCGCTAGGCGTGACTGGTGGGGACGAGTGCCGACATCTCACGCCCAAGAGTGTGTTGATGCCCTCGTTTGTGCAGCGCGCCTGGGCGAACGGCAGCGCCTGTTGCGCTGCCGTTCTTTAAACGCGGACGTGTGACACGCATTCGGCACGCGCCGCGCCGGCCCCTCGCCGCTGCGTCGTGTCCTCCCTCGCCCTGCCCATCCCCCTCCCACCATCCGCTCTCCTGTTCATGTCGTGACGCGTGCAGTGTCGCCGGCGGTCGCCGCCGCGGTGGCCGAGATCACCGAGCTTCAGCCGCCAGTGGGAGGTGGAGCTGGTCCGCCCGCCCCGCCGCCACGCTCAGCTGACGCGTCCCCCGGTGTCGCTGTTGTCCTCAGGAGGAGCTGCGCGCTCTGGGCGGCGTGGATCGGCTGATGGGCACCGTCTCGGACAGCCTGCGCTGTCTGCGCCAGACGGACGAGCTGCGCAGACAGCGCGACACCATCGCGCGCGTCAGCAGGTGTCTGCGCGTCGTTGAGAACGTAAGTGAGAGCGTTGAGAACGTGAGTGAGAACGATGAGAACGTGAGTGGAATGTTGAGAACATTGAGAGCGTGCGTGTGACCGTAGAGAGGGTGAGTGAGAACGTTAAGGGCGTGAGTGACGTCCGACGCCGGATCGGTGTCGCCTCAGATGCGCGCGGACCGATGTCATGGCAGGCTGGCGTGGTGTCTCCGCCAAGCATACTGGCGTGCCGGTGTATGCTTTATGTTCCATGGTGGTGCCCGATTAAAGGGTGGCGAGTGACCGGCTCGAACAGCCTCTGAAACGGCAGGTTTATGTCTGAGCAGGGCAGCCGTGTGGGCTTTGCTCTGTCGACCGATCGAGCGCATTGGGACGGCGCTGTCGCTTATGGTATTTTGTGCTGCTTGCCGACGGGCCTCCGGCGCCTGCCGGGCCGTGTCCCGCCGTTGTCCGACGCGAACGCTGCGCGCCAGGCGGTTACTGATGCACTCTACGAGCGTTTCGATGCTCCCCCCCCCCCCCGCCGGGACCTCTTCGGGCGTCCCGGCGACCGTCCCCGCCCCCGTGTGACGCTCCGTGACGCTCCGTGACGCCAGGTGACGAGTCGTAACGAGGAGAACCAGCGGCACGTGCTGCAGTGCGGCGGCGGCGCCGGCCTGGCCACGCTCAGCGAGCTGTTCCAGCTGGCCGAGCGCGAGCTGGCCGACGCACGCCGGCAGACTGCGAGGTTGGTGCGGCGGCGTGGGGCGGGTCACCGTCGGCGGGGTGGGTGGGCCACTGTCGGCAGGGTGGGCGGGTCACGGTCGGCGGGGGGTGGCGGGTCATGTCGCGAGGTGGGGGGGGGGGGGGGCCCACTGTCGGCAGGGTGGGCGGGTCACTGTCGGCGGGGGAGGCCGGTGCGCGGACGGCGGACGGCGGACGTTAGGTGGGCGTGAGCGGGGCGGGGCGATGTGGCCCAGGACGTACGGATCATATGCACGATGATGGTCGGGGTATTGTGAGCGCATTGGCGACTTGGCCATTTCGCGTGGATCACGGTCGTCGCCACGTGTTCGAGTGAAGTGGAAGATTTGCAGATCGGTGGGTGTGCTGGGGTTAGACAGGTAAACCGGCTGTGATGTTAGAGCATGCAAGCCGGCTATAGGAGCGGGGCCAGCGCGCGTTTGCGTGACGTCAACCGTGACGTGACGGTCGGCCTGGGTGACGTGGCGCGCATGTGACGTGACGCGGACGTGACGTGATGCGGGCTGACCAGACGTCTGGGTCTGGGTCAGCGGCAGAGTGGTCTGGGGCACCGGGTCCCTGGCGGACGCTCAAGCACCCAGCGCCCGGCGCGGCCCCGCGGCGGCTGGGGCCGCCGCCGCCGGCGCTCGGTCGTCCTCAGGGTAGCGTTGTTATGACGTTGAGACATAGCGGTGGGATAACGGATAACAAAATAAAGTAACGGACGAACGAAGGTCTGGTCGTCACCGATGACGCAGTCGCTGCTCACACGGCCAATGTCTGTGCTATTTTTAGAAACACGTCCGATGTGAGCACGTGTATTGCCGTGGCCGCGTCGCTGCGCTCTGTTGGCGCCTGAGCGCAGCTGGCTGGTGCGGCCGTCTGCGGCGCGGTGCCATCCACCCCCGCCTCACAGCCCGCCCCCGCACCCGTCCGGCAGGAGGCGGACGGCGCCGCGCGCGTGCTGCTCGAGAGATGACCGGACCCCTTGATGAAGGTGCTGGTCACCTGTCGGCGGCGTCGGCGGCGCGCGGCGAGCTCGTCCCGCGTCGGCGGGGGCGCGCCGCTGCTCGGTGCCGCCAGCCGGCCTGTTCGGCCGCCATCCTGCACGCGGTGCTGCGGCTGCCGGACCGGCTGCCCGAGCACCGCCAGTTCGACCTGCTGCTGCTCTCCATGTACCTGCTGATGAACGTGACCGAGAGCAGCGCCGAGAACCGGCGCCGCCTGGTGGCCGCCGCCGCGCCGCCGCGGCCGGGGCGGATCATCGAAGGTGCGCCGGGAGCGGGCGGGAGTGGGGTGTGCAGGGCGCCGCTGTGGTGATATGGCGGGAGTGCCGCCAGTGCAGGCTGTGGGTACGGCCCGTAACGGAGGAGAATTTGGTGGTACCCGGTACTCATGTACCCTGTGTATATAGTGTGACAGTACCGACGCAAACAAATAGTAGTACCAATTTTTGTAGAAGATTTAGAATAAGTGATGATCGGATTATTGGCAATGGTGACCTGACCCTGAGTGGGGCCTGACTCCGAACTTGACCCGAACCGACCATTAACCGATCCTGAACCGACCCTGACCTGACCTGACCCGACCCGACCTGACCCGACCCTGACCATGACTTGATCCGACCTGACCCTGACCCGGATTTGACCCTGATCCCGGCTTCACCCCGGCCCTGTCCCACCCGACCCTGAACCCGCCC